CATATACATTTATTATTGTAGTATACATAAGCAACAGAAAAATTATGATAAACATTTTTATCATAAAAATTGAATAACTAATTCTTTAAACAACTCATATTTTTAATCTCTGATTATAAGAAAAGGGCAATTTGCATTTCTAGCAGTAAAATGACAGTAAACAGTCAACTAAAACTCCCCAAAAATTTTGTGCACTCTTTTTTTCTCCCACTTTTTTTTTTTTACATTTTTCCCCACATTTTCCCCACTTACTGCTCATTCTCACTGTGTTTTGTCACTTGTATCCAGGAGCTAGGTAGTTTAAACTGTCTTTGGCTCTGGCTCATATTGTTCTCTCTAGCTCCATTCATGCATTTTAAAAAGCAAATTCCAAACAAATTAATTAATAATTTAATGTACTGTAGCTTACATGTATCCCAATGCAAGCAGACTTTTTTGTGTGTGTGTGCACCACCTGTGTAAAATGTCCCAGTCTGTTAAATCGAGCGCACCAGTGATTGGGAGTAGACACACTGTCATTAGTTCTGAAGCAGTTTTTTGAGCGGTGTTGTGTTGTTGTAATTAAGCAAAATAACATTCAACTCAGCTAAATACTCTCCYTTTGCTTTTAATTGGGATTTCTGTAACAAGCAGACATTAAACATAGAGATGCAGGTTTTTAAGGCTGGCCCTTTACTAAAACCTGGAGCTGCAGACYGTGGGAGAGAAGCAAGGCAGGAGCAGAGACTCCAGCACAGACGGTTCAGAAAGTGTGGAATGAAAAAACAAACCACAAACAGATCAAGTTGTGTTTTGGACAGCCTGTTGCTAACAGATCTAAAGTGTAGCCAATCAGTCACTCTCCCTCCTCCTGGTACTGCCGGACCGTACCACTGTTTGTGTTTTATTTAATCATGGGGAGCAGATAACCAAGAGGCAATTTTAAAGGGCCAATATTATGTGTTTCTCAGGCATATATTTAAATTCTATACCATAATAAAGTATCTGTCACCTTCAGTTATTAAAATGTTGTTTATATGTTTAAATAGAAAATAAACTTGACTTTTCATCACTTCCTCTTCTAAATGCCTTGAAATTGGCCTCTGTCTCTTTAAGAACCTCCTTCCACTTCTGTCCCGCCCATTTCAGCACGGGGCCTGGTGTGTGCTCTGTGATGAGGAAGCTCAGCTTGGAGACACAGTCCAGAGGAGGAGCTGGTCCCAAAAGTGTTTCTAGTCCCAACTGGTCATTTTTGCCCCCTTGCTGCTGCCTCAGGACACTGCAGGTTTCCTCAAACATGCATGAATGAGTCAAAACAAGACTCTGTACATGTTTTTGATGAGAAGATAACATTATAACATGATATAAAACTCAAAAAAGTTGATTTTACATGATTTTGACCCTTTATGTACAAATTATCCGAATGGGTCACCACTTTGCCAAGGACTGGAAGAAAACCCAAAATGTCTACGTCTGATGAAAAGACGGTCTCGCTCCATTCTTCCCTCAATMGTGAACAAGACCCCAAGATATTTAAACTCCTCCACTTGAGGCAGAACTTCAGCCCCAACCCAGAGAACAATCCACCCTGTTCCGACCGAGGACCATGGATTCAGATTTGGTRGTGCTGATCCTCATCTCAGCTGTGAACCGCTCCACTGAGAGCTGAAGAYCACGGCACTATGACACCAACAGAACCACATCATCTGCAAACAGCAGAGATGAAATCCTGAGACCACCAAACWGGACTCCCTCTGCCCCCYGGYTGCACTGAGAAACTCTGTCCATAAAAGTTATGAACAGAATCTGTGACAACAGGCAGCCCTGGTGGGGTTCAACTCCCACCCTGAAGGGGTCCGACTTACAGCCGGCAATGTGGACCAGACTCTGACACCGCTTATAGAGACTGAATGACCCGTAACAACAGACCCACAGTTCTATACACACACACACACACACACACACACACA